AACAAAAGCTTAACCGAACCAATCTATAGCCGAGTACAGTGGGGACTGATTTCTTCGAAATACTGTATTAGATGTAATAAAGACAGAAATTTTTCCAGTTCGACGAGAGTGACCGAAAAGTTGTAAATTTTGGAAATTTCCGTGGACAACACCTGGTCCTAAAACGAATTAGTTAGAAAACAAACGACGGACAATCTATTAAGTTTAACATATTTAGACTTTTACAGCTATGGTGAGAAACGTTTAAAATTTACAAGAACCCTGTCGCGTCTTTTGAGGTATATTAGTGATGCGACAAAAGAAACATTTGACATTGCCAAATCCCGAGGGTATCGGCACCCTCGGGATTTGGCAGCCCGCGTGCATGTACAGTACACACCGCACACCTAGCAGGACCGTCTCTGATTCCACTCGTAGGGAGCTATTTGACTAAGTGGTTAAGATTTAAAGAGTAAAGAATATTTTATGTTATTTTTATGTACGTTTCATTACAAAGCTATATTTAATTATAATTTTCTTTAAAAGTATATTCATACAATTGAAGAATATTTTGTACCAGGTATGTATATCCACCACACATTTTATTTCACCAAGTAAGTTTTTATAATTTTATTTTTAATTTTAGCCCTTATATCGTGGCTAGCGATTCGGAATGTAATTGCGATATTGAAAATTTATTTTAAAAAAGTTTTGGCTCGAGATCATATAATGAAAAAGAAAACATTAAAAGAGAACGGCCAATGCCTAAGTTAAATATAAACGCTTCAATAAAAAAATTTGTTCGATATTTTCACGATAAAATGGCTCTGTAAATGCATAAAAATGCATTTACAGAGTGAAATTAGTGTGTGGAATAAGAATGTCTTTGACAATTTAGCTGGCAAAAGACACGAAAAATCGTCGATTCTTTCGTATTTGAAGCAATTTGGAAATCGAAGCGGAATAGAATTTAACATTAGTAAATAATATAAAATAAATATTGAAAATTGTAACGAGATAATTATGGGTAATAGATATATTATATCTAAATAAATAGATGTTATATGTTTTTATCAAAGCAAGAATTGGCATTTAGAGGGCATATGGAATATATTGGATCTAATAACAGAGGTAATTATAATGAACTTGTTTATTAAGTACGTCAGATAAATAATCTATTAAAAATACATTTAAAGAAAGAATTAACTGATTGCCCCTGGATGTCGGCTTCTTATAGAAACACAGCTTCCCTATCATCAAATGTCACGGCACGCCCCTGATATATATAGATATGCTTCAAATGCTACCACTCGCATGCGACTCATATTTATCAACGCGAGTGTGGTCATGTGCGGACGGGCTAAAGAGTGGTAGAGAGTATGCCGTACGAGTCAAAGTTTGTTCGGCGGCTCTATCTCATAAACTCATAAGTTATAAGGCTGCTTGAGATGATGTGAAGAGGTATGTCCGAAGAGCCGCAAAGGTCTATGCAAAGAGCTGCACGCGGCTCGCGAGCCGTTTGTGCTGACCCTTGACATAGACGGAAGCAAGCGTTGCGACTCCGAAGTTTACTCCGACTCAGGGGCGCCGCTAGCTGTTTGAACGCCCGTGTGCAATACCGACTATGCCGCCCCCTGTTTAACTACGACTACCTATGCTGAGCTTGCCAGAAAGGCTCTTTGCCGCCCCCTGGACGTGCCGCCCGCGTGCGGTGCACGCCTTGCACGCCCGCTTACGGCGGCCCTGCTCCGACTTAGGCCGCGGCCTAAGTCGGAGTAAACTATAAAAGCGGCACCCACATCGTCACCTATGTTGGAACCGTCAGTGTAAATCCTAAACATGGACGATCACCTGGATCTTCGAAGTAAATGTCAGGGGCAAGCTGGTGGGAGGGGTGGTGTGGTGGTTCGTCACACCACTTGATTGTGTTCGCTGAATATATGAATAGAGACCGTAGTCATATATCTCCTATTTACTTTATTTACACTATATACAAAGAAGTCTCGTCTACCTAACGGTCGGTTGATTGGAATCCACGTGTACATCATAGTAGCTGACAAGTCGGGAAGGAAGTATGGCGGACGGCCTGCACATGTTTTTATAACCGTCGCGCCAGCGCCACCTGGATTTCCAGATGTAGCGCTGGTTACAATTATGCGGCCGCCACAGGTGGTAATCGTAAGTCGAGAGGGTATTTTTGTCGATGCTAAATTTTTTGATATCATCGATCAAGGCAAGACTGGGGAAATCTTACCTACTCTAAACATTTTGTCGACATACGAGTCGCTATAATCTCTCCAGGGTAAGGTGACGAGATTTTCCTGCCAAATAATGCGTTTAATTTCTAAGTCGACAGAGGTCAATCCTGACATTACCAAAAGGGCACTAGTGGGTGCGATCCTATAAGCCTTACAAATGCGGAGAGCTACAATCCTTTGAACAGATAACAGTTTTTTACGGTTATTGACTTTGGCGGCCACGTGGCCCCAGACCTGTACGGCATAGAGGAGTGCTGGCTGACAATATATATAGTGGAAAATATTTTCTTTCTTTTTATTTTTTATCTGCGTCTCAAGTAAGCATATGGGGATGAAATTGGTGAATAAATTTGAAAAACTCACTTTTAAAATTTTATTTTTTTAACGATTTTACTTCGCAATATGTATTAAAACTTTTGATATTTAAATGTCTTGTACTTAAATGCTCATAGAATCAAGCATATTTTTTATTTGGCCAAAAAAAACAAAATATTTTTAAGTATGAAAAAACCTAAGTGAAGATAATATTTGAACCTGTTATCCTTTAGTTGTTTACAAATTCTTATCCACACAATACAGTGGAACGTCCTGAGGCGTGATCTTACAGTTAGTTGGCTTCAAGTTGTTAATGGAAATGTTTTCACCGCTGCCTTTTTAGTTACTGATAGCTCCATGATTCACCAACGTCTAACAATTAAAAACTGAGATAAACAGCGACGAACATAATAACTAAAGTTTAGTTGTTCAAATTCATTTAAACCGAATTCAAAAATTGAGATTTGCGTCTTTGTAATGTTTAAGCTCCGGCGTAATTAGTCCGTAGATAGTCGTCGCTTTTACTCAAAACCCAGATCTTGAGAAGACTTTGTCTTTGCAATCTTATTTCAAATAATAATTTTTAAAATTTATCAAAAATATGGACATCTGGGAAAACTAGTAAGCAACCACTCTCGGATTTTCGTGGAATATCGATTTTTTATTCTTTTTGTTTTATGGGCATTAAGATGGCTTTTTAAAGTCCAATGTTGACCCATCAATGGTCGAGTGGATAAAACTACTGAACAATGATAGTTGGTAGCATGTGACGGCCGGATGGCAGCCTACCGCTCTGGGGGACCCGGGATCTAATCCGGACGGGTCCGGATTAGTGGTCCGATCGGATATGTCGGCCCTTGTTATTCATCACCCAGTCGCCCCATTGGGGCCTGGTCGAACCGATAATGGTTACTAAAAGAGGCCCTCTTAGTGCCACAGGGCGGAAAGAGCAAAAAACGAAAAGTTGGTCGCGTGTTTGTATATCACAAATTATCCACGTGGAGTTTTTCGGATTTTCTTCGCGTTTCTTCGTGACTGGATGATAACAGTCAGGACTCGATATACAGTGGTACCTCAGGTTACGAACGCCCCAGGATACGAAATTTTCAGGATACGACATGAAATTCGAACATATTTTTGCTCCACGATACGAACAAAAACTCACCATACGACGTTACATTAGTTCGCATTTTTCATTTGTTTTTCTTACTACAGTTATTTTTTTTAAATGTATTACTTGGCTTTAATTTGAGTATGTTTTTCGCGTTGGAACGAATTATTTGGTTTTACATGTAATCGTATGGGAAAAGATGATCCACCTTACGACATTTTCATGATACGATCTCAGTTTCGGAACGGATTAATTTCGTATCCTGAGGTACCACTGTATACTCTACAGAAGTCGGTTTTACATAGAAGTCCTTCCGGAAGGCTTCCCCTTAAGCAGATCGCCTATGTGTTTTGTCTTATCTCACGAATTCAATCCAATTCTACAACATTCTTCTTCAGTGCAAAAAATTAGTATGACTAAATGTATGTTAAAATTCTTTAGTATAAGTAAATTTTTATATCTCAGCCCCACAATGGAGCGGCCGGTTTTTTTTAAACTCTTTTCGTCCTATGGGCACTAAGAGGGCCTCTTTTTGCAAGCCTATTATGGGTACGGCCAGGCCGCAATGGCGCGACCGGATGGTGAGGGATGGAGTCCGACATATCCGGACGGACCACCCCCGAAAAAATTCTGGGGATTATTTGACCCGTTCGGATTCGATCCCGGGTCCCCCAGAGCGGTAGTCTGCCACATTGACCACTCTGGGGGACCCGGGATCAAATATTCATTCATAATCATAATATATTCATAATTAGATATCAGACTTATATACTTCAAGTCAACTAAACTCGTCCATCCGGCCGTTAGTTTAGTTGACTTGAAGTACTGTACATATAAGTCTGATATCTGATTATGAATACTCGAAGCATGAAAGACAAATTAATATACGAGTATTAGTAAAAGTTTAGAAAATCAGTTTATAATTAGAGGGAAAGAAGTGCAATAAACAATGCCGTTAAGTCAGACGAAGGAATAAAGGGACTCGGAGACTCTAGCTTCGGGGGCCATTCCCTGCACTTGGCGTTATGTTTAATATATGATAATAATCTTATTAACATCAAAATCGATATCTATGTATTGTTTTAAAAAAATAAGATAATTTTTATAAATAAATAAAAAATAATTACACAATTTAACCTATTTATTATTTTCAATAATAGTTTTTTTAAAGATTAAAAATAATCATTTTAATATAAATTATACTTTTTTATTGATATTTCCAGAAATATTTTTAATAAATAAATTTTCTTAAGAAATAAATAGCGACTTATTAACATTTTTTTCAAACGTTTCGTTACTGAAAATGAAAGAATACGATAATATGCGAAGAATGTTTGATCGAAATAGTTGAACCAAACGATGTCCGGTTCCGTCGAGCGGCCATAATGGTTGTAGGTTGGGTGTGTTGAGTCAGAGGAGCTTTGGAAAAAGGTGTTTTTTTTTTTGAATTATCAAACGAAATAGCTTACGGGGAGAAAGGTATGACTTATAATACGATACTAATTATAAAATTTAAACATAAAACGGTAATTATTATCGTTTAAAAACTATAAGTTAAATATATGATGACAATGAACTCGAGTAAATTGTTAAAAAGTTCGTAAGGGTTGATTTACCTGTCGTAAGTTCTATTAAATCCCATTATAATTAAATTCTGGGGATTGTTTTAATTTAACCACGACAATTTAAAGTCTTATACATTGGCTCTAATCCAAAAAAAAAAACAAGTTTTGAGTTATAAAATTATTGAAACTACAATTTAATTTTTTGATATAAGTTACTTTTACGTAATTTATACGTACATTTATCTGAAAGTAACTTCTTCCTTATACTTGCGTTGAAATACGTAATGTCATTGATGATTCTCCATAATTATAATTGATTGTAATTACCTGTCAAATGTAATATTCTAGAAGTCATACTGTATTTTTTTAAAGTAAAACTTTATCTTAAAATGTAAGTATTATTTGATTTTTCAAATGAAATTTAATTTTGATATTTATGTAAGCCGTTACCTAAATATCTGTCCTTTTCGCGGCTTCTAGTAAGCCCGATAAAATATCAAATAAAGTAATTTATTATTTTAATTCTAGCCGAAGAGGAACAGGGATGAGTATTGCCCTGTTTGAAATGTATATGTAAAGTTAAAATAAAATTTGTGACTTTCTTTTTGGTCTTGTGTGCTGATTTATTCAATATTCCCCTTTTTTAATCTTATTAAAATATACTATTTAATCTAATTTTGCTCTTGTGAAATTTGAATTATGAAAATGCTTTCTGTTCTTTCTTTTCAAAAAGATTGTCTGTCTTAATATATGTGTGTGTATTTTCTTTGTTTATCTGTACTGAATGTAAACTTTGCCACCTACAATATGTATGGCTTTGATTTCTCTCTTAAATAGAGTGGGATGATCATTTTTCTTTTAATTGAAAAAATTAAGGAAAACAAGATGTTACTGTTTAGTTTGTATTTTATTTTATACATTTAACTTGAAATTTATTTTTAATTGATTTAGAATAATGACAGAATTAATCAAATGCTTCTTCTGGAATAAAATACAAAATGTAAATCAGGTATGTTCAAAGTTACTTTCAGATTTATATGACCTGATGATGATTGAGTATTTATATTTAGGTTAAATTATATCATTGAGAAAATTTTGTGTGATTATGTTAATTTATACAAGAAAATAACAACTCTATATTAATAAATTACTCAAAACTTACCAGAATCAGATACTTTTTATTGATAATGAATATAAATTAAAAAATATCAGCTTATTTGAACAAACTTTGTGAAAATACTTTTGTTTGCAATCAAATGAAATGATAAGCCAAATTTGTTTGAACTGTTTTATTATACAGAATTTGATTCTTATTATATATAGTTTCTATTGGATTTGTTAAATCCAATAGGAACTATATTCTCTGCCATTTCAAATGATAGTTTTAAAACTTATCAAACAAAACATATTAAAATGGTTTTTTTATAATCAGAATTGGGCAAGGGAAAGTTTTATATAATAGAAACATGTTATGCTGTTTGATTGACACACTCAAAGATTGTTGTCCCTAAGCATAACATGTTTCTCTCATGCCAAAATTTCTCTGCCCAATACAAATCAATTTTACAAGGGTGTTAAGCAGCGTTTGACTCACTCTGTATTTCATTGACATTTAATGAAAATTTATATTTATAAAATATACAAATTTGATATCTCACTTGATAAACTTTGCACTGAAACATAATGAATAAATAATGTTAGTTGACATAGTAATTTTGTCTCACAAATAATAAAATAGTTTAATATTAATATGATACAAGTTAAGAACTGACAGTCTTTATATGTGGCTGATGTATGCAAGCAAGAATATTGTGATGTCAAATTTTGAAGCATATTAATGTAAGAAAATGAAATTTTTTTAAGGACTTCATAACTTACAAATAATTATGTTTAGTTAAATATTTAAACATTTAAAATTATAATATTTGGGTCAAAATTGCCAATTCAGTTGGGTTTTGAAATGCTACAAGAAAATTTTCTATAAAATTTTATTGTTTTATAAAAGACTTTGGATTAAATTAATATACTTCTTTAGAGACCTTAGAATCTGTTATGTCTATATGGGAATACTTTTGACCACATCATTGTTTTGATTCTTAAAGGTGTGAATTTACTTTTAGATTGAAATAGTTTTGATTTGTTATATCAAATTGCAATACTGTATTAGACAAATTGAAAAATAATAATCATTATTTGCTGTCAGTTATGTGACTTATACTGCAATATGTAAAAAGAATTTGATTAAATCTATATTCCATTTATTAGATTTTATGTAGATAACATATAAGACATTTATATAAATTATGTAGATTGAAAATCCAATTAAAAATAAATGTCTAACCAAAATTATCAGTACTTTAAATCAATATTTCTTATAATATGACTTTCTTTTTATAAAAATGACTGATATCTTACAAAAATACACTTTTAAATTGTCTTTTTTTATATTTTAAAAATAAAATTCTTAAATAATTGATACCAAATGAATTGCCAAGTCATATTTTTTAATATTTTATAATAATAGATTCCTGAAATTTGAATATATTTAGCTTGCTTGGCAGGGTTTGCTGTCTATTAATTGCATATACCAATAACATCTAGCAAATATGCTTATTATTATTTTAGTCATAATCAGATATTAAATTTAACACTTTACATTAATTTGTTGTTAATTCTTTTCAACAACAGTTCTTTTATTTAGCTAGACTCAACCAATGTCGAATTCTATTGGGCTAGATATGGCTAATTACTAAATAAATTAATTTATTTTATAATAAATAATTTTTATTTATTATAAAATATATCTTGTTTGGGATTAATTATACTGGAACTAGAAGAGATTAGAATTTTATTAATACAGAAATACATTAAAATTTATATAGATATTGTATGCTCATACTATTTATATAATAATTAGAACACTAAGTAAATTGAATTTAAAACTTTCTATTACTACTTCGAATGTATTTTTTTTATTACTTAGAAGCTATTTTTAAATTAATTTTTTCATATTATAATGTTGCATTAAACATTTACACTTTAGGAAAGTAATCTAAAATTTTATTTAAACTAAATATTTCAGAATATTATAATTTCATTGTCAGAAGTTGATACAGGTTTATCCATTGATGATCTGGTATGTTTTTTAATCCAGAAAGAATTACAAGAGAGCACTTAAAATTTCTGCAACTTTCGGACTAATTCACTGAATGGATACAGATTAAATTGAGTGTAGTGCTTTTTTGTGGCCTGTCTATACTGCAGTTGTTAGTGATTACTCTATTACTCTATTTTGTAAAAGTTTTAACTTATTTTGCTTATAAATCATAGCTACAATAAATGTAAGAAAAATGTAAATATCAAAATCAAGTGTAATTACCAATTTAAATTTAATACTGTACTGTATATGCTTAGAATTCATAATGGTATAGGATATACTGTAACCTTGTTTGGTGTGACAATAATGTTAATTGATAAAGTTTTGGAACCAAGCGTGTCAGTTGGTGGCCATTCATTACTGAATTTTCCAATACGAGACCCTTTTTATATATAATTGTTGAACTATGTTGACATTTCATTACAGACTCATTATAACTGTTAAATAATGATTTTGAAATTTTGGAAAACTTTTAAAAATTTGTTATGCATAGATGCTAAAGGTGTTAGATATCAAATTTGTATTTATAAAAATCAAAAGAAGTTATACTGAAAAACTTACTAGCTCTGTTAGACCATTTGAACATAACATAACATTCTGAATTTTCTGATAGTTTAGCTGTTTGTAATGTTGATTCAGTAAATGTCTCTTCAATCCAAAAAAATTCTTTTCGGTAGACTACCTTCGTATGGCTGTGAGGTAGTCTACCAAAAAGAATTTTTTCGGATTGAAGAGACATTTACTGAATCAACATAACATTTCATAACTTATTTACATATCAGTGTTACAGTCAGTTTTTGTTACTATTTTCAATTAAAAAAAGTAAAAAATTATCTTAATAAATAATATGGTACTTCTGTTGAATTTTTTCTGTAAAGAAATAAAAATTGCAGATCTTGTAAATCTAAATTTTAATATATTTTGAAATAAAAATCATAAATCTGTTTGTCTAAATTTATTGATTTTCGTAATCTGCACGAATGTTTGCCTCATTGTTTTATAACAAAAATAATCAATTGCTCATTTAATACCATAAATTTAATAGCAATTGTCTCAATTGCTATTAAATTTATGGTATATATGTATTGATGTAAATATTATAATAATTTAGCAAGCAGCTACACAATACAATATTGCATTATGTTATGTAATGTGAGACAATATAAATGGTATTTTGATTAAGAGTACATTAGATTATAAATGTAGAATCAAATTGAAGGTCAAAGTATTTCAATTTTTGCTTTTTTTTTTTGTAAAGGAATTAAATGTTTTTGATTTATAAACACAACAAATTACTACCATTTCAGTTTGTAACTGATCATAATCTGATACTAGACATTAGAAACATTTAATGCTGTATAATTTATCAAATGATTTTTAAATTAATGGATGTTTTAATTTAAAATATATAAATTGTCTAGAAATGTAATGAAACTTGGCACCATAATATATTAATTAATTCAAAAACACTGCTATCAATACTTTCAGGTTACCAAAAAATATTTAAAATGAAATATTTTCAGCATAAATTTATGCTATCTTCAGCATTAAACATACATTATAAATTGAATAGAGCATTTTTAATTCAGATTTGGAACATTAAAACATTATACAAAATCATAAGTCTAAATGTATTAGAATATTATTCTGAGTAAATAAGAAGAATTAATTTAAAAACTTGCAATTTCAAAAATAAAATTATTTTTTCTCTTATTGATTTACTTATGTAAAACTTTCCAGTTAAAGAAAAAGTGTGA